GAGGGACTGGACCCAGCCCCAGGTTACTTATTACTATGGGATCGAAAATCCCACGCGTTGGCGAGAATGAAAACGAAACGAGGATCGATGAGAAAACGTGTGTCATTGTAGTTTTGTAGTAGTTCCTGTGCGAGATTGAGTAGAGTGTAACACAAGCCAAGAAAACACCATTTCCACCTTTACTTTTATGAGATATGTGGTAAATAAATAAATAGAGGTGAAAATGAACGCTTTCTCTTAGACTTGCAAGAAGCTGACCTCATGAATTTCAGAGCAGAATAGCTAAGCGATCGAAGCGAACTGCGAGGTTTTAGGCCGCGAGGCGGCGGTTTGAATGTTGCGAAGCGGCCCAGTGAGCGACGAAGTCCTAAATCGAGTTTTCAATCGAGTTCTACGAAGGTAATCATTGAAGGAGCTCTTACAAGCATTCTGGCCAGACCAGACTGATTCCCCATGCATAACTTAATACCTTGTCATGAATAGCAATACCCAGGATAGAATATTACACTATGCTGCACCTGACCTAGAGAGGGGCCAATATAATACTAGTGCGTCAATAGGAGAGAGCCCTAGGGATAATGCGTCATTTCCAAGAAAGTTATGACTCGAGTAAACATTAAAACAATATTCAATCGATTTGAGTCGAGAATCCTCAGTCAGGGTTCTCAGGTACCCCCTTCCCTTCATTTCTCCTATTTATCTCACAGTTCCGCTCTTCTTAATGTCCAGATCCCTGGAATCCTGATCCCACTCAACTTTTTAATCAAGCTCCTGTAGTCATGAAAAAAATCACATAAAAGGGCTAAAATTAATGAAGAGAAATTGATAGCGAAGCTCCTGCGCGCCGAAGGTTCAAAAGCGGAGCCCCATACCTAAGAAAACTTGGTAACCCATCGATATAAAAAAAGTTAGTTGTCATGTGACTTTCCGTACGTACGGCCGCACATCCGTACGCCAAGCCCCACCTTGAAAAATTAGCTCTAGCACCATTACCATAGGCACATATATGATATATGCTGGGTGGTTTGAAAATGCTGCCCAATGCTGCAGGACGATTTTAACTCTCCGTTTACTCCCATAGTTTTTTTTTGTTTCGATTGAGAAGATATACCAAACACTCGAGACAGTGTTTCATCTAAACACCTCGAATTTCGTCAAACCTACTCCGTTGTGCGTCGTATTTTCAACTCTCTTCTCGGTGTTTGGATATCCCGATGAAATACTGTCTATCTAGTTTGATATATTGCATATTGCCTCTTCATATGAGCCGGGTCAACCGGGCCGGCTCAGTTTCCGAGATCTTGCCTCACCACTCTTTTCTTCGTAAAAATTCCTTGTGTTCATATGAGGAAACGACCGGATGGCCCGGTTAGCGAGATTTCCGTTTTCGCGACCGAGATCTCGGTAACCGGGATGAAATTTTTCAATATGAACACTCCAACCCGGGTGACCTGGTGACCGAGCTTTGCTTTTGGATCTTAGTGTCCAAAATGGTATAATTTTTGTCTTGTATGTATTTCCACTTCAAACGTATGCGAATTAGCTTTATTAGTAACGAGAGTCAACAAAGCTGCGATAATCGCAAACGATACAACTTTATGTTCCACTCCTGAGTTTGGTTTTGTTTCTTGAATTTCATGGTGGTCGACGGGGTTGAAATCTCCCATATGAACAGACAACCAAACCTTTTGGACAAAATAGCTTCGCTTTCGCAACATAGCGACCAAAATGGCATATTTTTTGTCTTGTATGTATTTCCACTTCAGAAGTATGCGAATTAGCTTTATTAGTTAAGTTACAAGAGTCAACAAAGCTGCGATAGTCGCAAACGATACAAGTTTATGTTCCACCATTTTGGTTTTGTTTCTTTAATTTCCTCCCGGTTGCTGGGTTGATATCTCTCATATGAATTAACAGGTCACAAAATTCGTCCTGGTAACCAAGCCAGTCCGGTTACTAAGCTCATATGAAGGGGTCCTGAGTTGATATCGTTGGGAAAATTTCCGCACAATTGCCTATTTTCCGAAATTTTCAGGCCCCGTCCTAGCCTGCTAGCAGACTCACGTTGGAGCACAAGCGCGCGCGGCGTAGCCGAGAGACGGGAAAGCACACTTTCTTGGCGCCTCTTCACCAGACTCCTTCCCGCCGGATCGCTTTGCTCTTCGCCGTTCGCGCGCGTGATTCAAAGGTGAGCTTGCTCCCAGGCTAGCCCTGTCCATACTACGCCGGAGGGCGGAATTTGAAAACGGAGGTTTCATTTTGAAAACTCGTCAAATGTTTTCCGTCCACATGACGCCGGAGAAATTTGATGACGTAAACTCGGGCAGGGAATATCATGATTATAGTAACGTCATCATTTACGAAGAGCTTCGTCTTCAAAATGTTTTCCGTCCACACTAAAACGCAAGACCGGCGTTTTCAAATTCCTCCGGTTTGAAGAACGTTTTCGAAAAAAAAATCTCCGTTTTCGTGACGGATTAGTGTGGAAGCCACGGCCTAACCGTAGAAATAAAGGTGTTCTAAGAAGTTCAAACGTCTTTCTTTAATTAAGAAAAGAAAACAAACAAATCCGTATTTCGAGACTTTCTTAGCCTTACAAAAAGGCGAACCTGAGACAGCTTTATGAAAAAACTGAGTCTGCGAGATGCACATAACTGCTAAAAACACGAGACTGCGTCACCCGTGAAATTCAACCAAAATTTTGCGACCCCCATGGTGTTTGAAGGCCATTCGCCACCCTCTTTGATCAAGGGCTAGCATTTGTAGTTTGGCGGTTAGAAGTAAATCAATTTTATTTTTACCCAACTGGCATTTCAGCGGCACTTCAATACCACTGCTACTGATTAATTAATTAAATTCCTGCCTCTGGCTCAATTCGTAGTTACACGACGCAATTACGGATACTGCGAACCTTTGGTTTTCCACGATTTACAAAGTCTGCAACTCAAATTTGTTTTTGATCGATGTCACCACCAGTTTCATCTTAAAATGAATCTCTATATTTCAGTTATCATTCTTTGTTAAAGAAATACACCAAAATTCCGAAATAATTGAACCAAAACCCATGAAAAATGTGAAAGACTAATCCTTAATTCTATCTTGCTTTGCAAAATCAGAAATCTTGATACACACAAAGATTGAAACTGTTCATAGGCCAGCTGTGTTATAGAGCCGTTTCCTTTTTAAGCTAATTAATGTCGATACGACTATATATGCTTGGTGCCTGATCGAACAGTTGACAGGAGATCTTAAGAAAGATATAGGTATCTTGTCTAGCTAGTTTTGAATTTCATGGAATAAAATTGAGAAAAGGCTAAATTTATGGAGGCCGCTTATTGTATTTCGTGATCTGACGGTATCTCCCCATCAAAGGAACTCGATCATAGTATTTGACTTATTTTGGCCACATACATAATCACCTTTAAATTAAAGGGAACGAGAAAATAATAGTTTACTAAGGTAGAAAAACACCAAAGATTTATATAATAATAAACCAAAAGAGAACAAGGAGGATTAAGAATGGAGTAGATTAGCACGGATTACAAACGACGAACTTGATAAACATAGGCTAAACTTTTCAAGACACGCAAACCATGATTTAGCTGCTTCTTAACTTCTGATCAGTAAGGCTGGCTTCTGCTGAGCTTATCAACCATGCTGGAATTCTGTTCGCAATGATATAGCTATTGCTGCCTGCGAATTTACGCTTTAAAGCACTGAAAAAACACTTATCTTCCTAGCGCTCTCACTAGTACATTTATCTTCGGTTAGCTGATTACGCGAAACCAAGTGATCCTTTTTTATCAGGATATTTTCAGTTTGAGAGGCTATACCTTGTTTCCGTTTGGAAGTATTTCGCTTTTAAGAAAAGAGATACAGTTCTAGACGTTTTAGCACCAACTGCATATCTCTACCTGTGTTCCCAGGGGTTTCCCAACAGGTTGAAAATAGTTGTCTTTAATTTGTTTCCATAAACCACTCTTGGCTTAGAAATCATAAATAAAAGGACGTTTGCTTTAAAAAGTGCTGGACAACCATGACTAAGGTCGAGACTTTCAATGAATACGACAGGAATTTAAGAGTAACGTCACCTATTTTGATGAAAAGTTAATCAATCAGGTTTTGCGTTAGAAACCTTTTAAACACATTTAGCTCACGGCAACTCAGACAGTGTAATGAAAAAATATAAAACATAAAAAATGAAGGGATTGGTATTAAATTTCCCTCGGGCACTCTAAACATGTTGCCAGGAGCTAGTGAATTTGAAGCTCTGTCGTATATTTAATGGTAATATTTTTTAATTTCTACTCGGAAGAAATCAACTGGGCGGTCATTTTTCCTCAAAAAGAAACTAAGACGGGGGATATTCTCTACGGAAAATTTCAAATGAAATTTTGGGTATATTTGGATACAAAAATGTTATGACACTGAGTCAGTTTTAAGAATGTGTTTTCGATGAAAGGAAGCAAAATGTCCTCATTAAAACCTCGAATCGTATACGATTACAAAAGCATTTTCTAGGCATCCGGCATTTAAAACTCATTCATCCCAACAAAATCTACGAACATTTCAAATTAACAATAATTACACAAAAATGAAAACTCGAAATCTGGTGTTGAATATTTCTAGACAAGGCTGGTTATTTAGAGAAAATTTAAACAACAATTAAGATGGTTAGGGCAAAAGTTTTGGCCACCGTAAAATGGCCACTCAAACAAAAGAAATCTTTTTTTTCAGTTTCACTGATAAACATCTAGCACAAAGCAATAATACTGAATGAAAAGGCGGAGCATTAATTGTGCCCGGGAATTAAAAAAAAAAAAATGTTAATGACGAGTTACCGGATACGCTTTAACTTACTAATTGTAAGCAGTAAGTGTGGGAGAACATTTGTTCCGTGTGCGTGGAAGGACATTTTATTAATGACAATAGGGTACATGTAATTAAAAATATAAGTGAAGTGTTGATAAGAAGTGTACAGAGCGGAAGGTATATATAAGCTGTAGAGTCTTCTTGAGAAGTTCACTTTCAGTCGCTGGTCAACCACACACTTTGTTCGCTAGCTTTAGGACGCCATAACAACTCACAGGTAGGCTAAAGTAAATTGTGTTGAAATGTTATTTATCTTCGGCCGCTTTTACTTTTGGTTTCCCTGTAGTTTCATTTACTTTATTTGACCTCCTAGGTATCAAAAACTCAGCTAACCTTTTATTTCGTGTTACGTGTTTCATAAAGCCCTTACGTTGGACGTTTCTCTAAAAACCTTTTGTTTAAAGTCTTCTAAAGTTCAGTTTTCTACTTAAAGGTAACTAGTTCTTCGGAAAACTATGATCTGTTTAACAGTGTTTCATTTCAGAGGATATTCAAATACACACGAAATGAAATCAAAGTTTAACTTGAAATTTTAATTTACTTCTTCTTCCAAAACGTGAAAAAACTTTTTGTTCTCATAATATCATGTTCCTACAAGTTCTGTACACTGTGCAAGGAAAGGCTATGTCAAGAGAGAATTGATTTTACTCCGTACATGAGTTTTAAACGAAGTTCTTGTTTACTGCAACAAGAAAAAAAAAAATCTGTTTTGTGTTATTTGTCTGTCTCATGCTGTCTTTTTAGTCAAGATATTCAGTCTGTTGCCCCGTTGTGTCTTTATATCGAATTCAGTTCCTCATGAAATCGAAGATGTTCTCGATAAACAGACGAGCCCAGAACTGATATTGAGTGTGGCACCGAGTTTTCCCAAACGTGATAAGATTCTTAGGATCTGAAGCCTATTTACCCCATCTTTCTTAGTCCTTTCCTCTTTATAAGGTGTCAAAGTTCCTTCCCACTCTATATTATTGGTCAGCATTCTTCATTTCTCTTGAAAGCGTTAAAATGTTCTGATTACATCTTTACCCAATGCAATTGATTCATTACTTATCTGATTTTTGATTCTGTTTGATTTCATTCAACTACGAAACATAAAAGTCAAACCTGAAATAGGGACAAAAAAGGTGCATTAAAACATCATAGGTTACGACTGAAGAAATAATTTCAGTACAGTATAAATACAAAATACGATAAGGAGAGATATCCCTAGTTGATTTTTTTTAGTCATTTCATCACCTGTCTGCTCGGCGACAATTGAAAGTAATGAACTAGCGTTTGTAATTAAGGGAAAACGGGCAATGAAAGCATTTTTCAGAGTTAAAGGTTGTTTGCTAGGCCACTAAAAAGAAAACCTGGTTATTGAAGCAATTAATTATAAACTAAATGTGTGAATTTCCTTCCTCTCCAGGTTAGGATGTTGTTAAGACTTGTCATCTTATTTTCTATGGTTTGCTTAGCAAGCTGCGAAACAAAGACAAATTCAGAGGATCCTCCGTTACTGGAAGCGCTTAACGCGAAATATTTTGGTCATATTAGGGGCAAACGAATGGTAAGTTTAAAGACAAACAGCGGGCTAGGGTTAATTGTGGATAAAGTGTTGAGCTGGACTTATTTCTTTACTCCAAGAGTCAGTTCTGTTAATTAGCAGTTAGGTGATTCTAACTTTTTTAAACCTTAGAAGTCTGTAAAATCCTTGTGATTTACCGTGCCAGTCCGGTAATATTCATATCGTACTGCCGGTTTATTCGTGCGCTTATAGACGCCATGTAACCATTCAAAAAAACCTCACATTTATTTCCTAGTAATCATTGAATAATATTGGCTAGAATCAAAAAAAAGAAGATAAGAATGTTCTTTTCATCAACTCCGACAAAACCTCCTTTGTTTACAGTTGCGAACACATCATCTGAGGTGAAGTGAAGCGAAGTTCTTTTTTTAACTCTCACTGTTAATCACTTATTCATCTGGTATCTTTGAAGTAAACATTCTTCGTCAGAATAACGTAAAAGTAAATAGCTATTGCAAAATTTCTGTAGTGTCTGAAATTCTCAAAAACAGCTGGTAGATTGCCATTGCTCGTTAGGAAAAGTTTTTATCTGTAAACTGATTCATGTTGATATTAGATTTTTCCAATTTTCATGACGTTTTCCCTAATTTTCCTTTAACAATGCAGGAATCGGAAGACTATCCACCTGGCTTGAAAGAGGCACTAAGCAATGCTTACTATGGACATATTCGTGGAAAAAGAACGGTAAGGAAATAATAATACTGAACGCAACTTTCAAAGTTTAATCCAAAACACTTGCGTATTTTTAAGATCATTTCCAGTCCGTACTGCGCATTCTCGAGAGTTTGTGTGCCTTTTATGTTTTGTTTCATGTAAGACGTCACAAAATGTCAGCATTTCACAACTACTTACATGAACTAAATTCAAAGTTTCAAAACAACCGTCATTCTGGATGCGACACTTTTTGCTTCGCTCTTTCTCATATCACTTGATGAAACAACTTCGCAGCCGTAAAAATCAATGAAGCTGTTGCAAAAAGAATTTAAAAGGCCTCAAAGGTAAGGTATGTGGTTCTTAACGAATAACATTGATTCGCTTTCCATCGAGTGAGAACTTGTAATGTTTATAAACATTAGGGTGCTAATACTGCGCAGTACGGACTGGAGATCATCTTTAATAGTCGTTAACCTAACACTTAGACTACGAGCCCGAGTTTTCTACGAGTAGATGGTCAACGAGGCTTAGCCGAGTTGACTATCATAGACAACGTGGTCGAGTAGCCTAATTGTTTTAGTGGACACTCTAAATGATTACATCACAAAACCACCAATTTTGTGTACTTTTGAGCCTGAAATTAAGAATAATTTTCGGTTTCGAGAGCAGCACTTACGCGATCATTTTCAAATTTTAAATTTTGATTTTATGGCTTTCATCTAAAAAAGTTGGAAATAATTCAACATGATTTTTGAACCGGGGCGCGGAAGAAAATTTAGTGGTGAACAATAAAGACAGTGTTTATGCCTGATCTATCGGTATGATAGTTGCCCCTTGGAAATTTGATGTTCTTAAAACTAGCATACCAGTTTGCCCTGGAAGCTTCGCTTCTCGGCCAAATGATTTGCAAATTTGATTTTAAAACAAACGATTTGTCTTAAGAACATCAAATTTCCGCGGGACAACTATTAGCTAATAGTTACTCGACAGAACCACTCTATTGTTTAAATAGACTGTCTATCAGAGAATTAGCGGCCAACTATCAAGGACATTGACATGTTTTTCCCGACTCTTCCGTTTTTGAGGCCAGAATTACGTCTTGTTGATTACTGAACAAGTTCACGTTTCCATCAATTGTTATCTTACTGACACGAACATTTCTCTTATCTTATTTTGCAGAAAGACTTAGAGGACTATCCACCATTAGAAGAAGCACTTAATTCAGCTTATTTTGGACATATCCGAGGAAAGCGAACGGTAGGAATTTCTCTAAAGTCGCTTCACACATGAATCATTTCCCCTTAAACAGAATTATGTCAACCTCTTTATACCAACATACTGACATTACTGATACAGTTTGTCATAGTTAAAAGGCAGAATATTAAAAAATATGTTTATTTGAACCTCATAATGGAACCTTAAAACAACGGCAATAACCATGGTCACTGCTGGCAAACCTTAAAACTTTAAGCTTCGAGAATAATCACCTAATTTGCAGAATCAATAAGCACTTCGAACAAAAGAACAGGAGCAAGGTCACCTTGATTTGTTCATCGAATTCTCGCAACTATTACCACAGACACGTATAGAAACCTGTGAGGAGAATTTGCATTTGTTTTACTTACTTTACAGCTGGAAGGTTGGGGTTATAATCCTGCGCTTCGTGAAGCTCTCAATAAGCAGTATTCTGGCCACTTTCGGGGAAAAAGGACGGTAAGAACACGACTTACACACGCTGGAGACGCTTCGCGTCACATAAAAAGAAAACGATAAACATTTAATTTGAAACGTTCACGTTAAGCTTTTGTTTGCTGTGTTCTGTTTCTGTAGGGAGGCTGGGCGTCAAATCAAGACTTACTGGAAGCATTAAACAATGCGTACATGGGACACATCCGAGGGAAAAGAGAACAGGTACATACTGAGCACTTGCTAAGCGTTAAATTTTTGTCCGAATCGTGTTTTAGTCCGTGATTTGTGTGATGCAAATGCACCGTAAAAAAAAAACAACAACAAAACATGCACTGTTGGATCAGATTGGCGTTAAATTGATAGGAATACATCTCAAAAATCAAGAAAAAAACTAAAAAAGTGCTTAAGAAAACATCTTTCAATTTTTGACTCGTGGCTGTTTCGAAATTATTACGTCACAAAATAGGCACAACGTGACATCATATAGTCCAGAGTGTGTTGTCGAAACGTAAAATTGGCTTGCAGTTGTATCCAGTTTTTTTTCCAGCAGTTCAAATGTTTTCATGTACTGTACTTCAAGTAATCTCGCCCAGTTTAGAGGTTATTTTCAACAATTTAGCGGCAAATTTTTCCGAAAGGTGGCAATTAGACAATTAGCAACAAAAAGTAGAATACATGAAAGTTCTAACTTCATTTCGTTAGTACTATTTATATCTTTTCATTGTGTATTATTTTTGCAGGACACAGCGGAGAAGTCAGCCGAATAAAGAACCATTAAGGAATGCTATGAAATCCAACAAGTGACATTGCCAACACCGATCTCGAGCCAACAGGACACACTAATTAAATTACTACATTATCACTGATGCTGAGGGAAGAATAAATTGTTCTTTTTTAATTAATTCGTGTCAACACATCTCATTTCGAATTGTAATAAATCAACGTAGTCGACTGCACACGACAAATTTATAAATGTGAAATAAAGTTTTAATTGAAGAAGCAGACCTAGCTGAGTTGTACTTGTTTTAGTAACTTAAGTTTGTGTTAATGACAATTTGGATAATTTGGATAATTTTTGAAGAAAGAAATCAAGGGCAACATTAAGATTAGAAAGGAGATGTGAGATTCAACTTGGATTAAAGTCCCGGCCGGGCTGTTCAAAAACTGATTAAGCTAACCCAGGATTTAATAATTACTAGCGAGAATCTTGATTTCAGCTTTGTAATTCTTCAGTGTTTCTACTTTGTTTGTCGTTCAGTTTTGAGCTTGAGCAATCTCAAAATTCCCAAAAGTGAAGGAAATTTTTAGCCAAGAAAAATTAATAATTCAGCTAACTTTTAATCCTGGGTTAGCGTTAAACGGCTTCCGAACAGCCACTAAAAATTGCACAGCGATTTGGTCACAAAATAACCCGCGATCAGACGTTCTTTTCGCAATAAGCTAGCATATTTTTATTTTCTCCTCGCCGCGTCCAGTTTCCAACAATTCCTCTTTGATAATTGCTGTAACATTTCCAAAGTAGTACACAGTGACGAATAGCACCAACTCAGGCACTCACATCAGTAGTTCTGACATGAACATCTCCACGGCACACACAAGTAATGACTATTTAAGAAATAGAAAACATGTACCGTGTTTCTATCGAGTTTTAGTATAAATCTACTAACGTTCTATCACGAATGCCGTTCTCTGATTGGCTACTCTACTCACTATCTATTCTGTGATAAATAGTGAGCTTGTAGCGTAGCAGTGTGCCCTTGTTGACAAAATTTCGGCCGTTTCGTGGCGTTTTTCAAAGTGTCTGCAAAGAGGATTTAGATAAAGTTTAGAACGACCAGTAGATTTATACTAAGACAATTACATTGTTCGCTCTCGATTTCTATGCATGATAGTTGACTCGGGCGATAAAAATCTCGAGCTCATAATCTAATTGTTTAATAAAAACAGGAGTGGAAGTTTGGGAGAACGAGAAATGCTGTGGGAACATTTGCCGCAGGCGAGTGTTTCCACAGCTTTTTCGAGTTCTCCCAAACTTTCACGAGTGTTTCTATAACTCGATAGATTATCAAAATGTAAATTCTCTTTGCTCCCGCCATCATCACGTCACCTGCTCGTGCTAGTTCTGTGTTTCTACCGAGTCAGAGAAACCAATCAGCGTATTTTCTTAGGACTAAATAGCCCGAAGATAATACGCACGCTGATTGGTTTAAAGTCGTGTTTCTACCGAATCCACATTAGATAAATTGGTTGCATTTATAACACAAAAAATGGGGACAGCACTGTAGTTTTTCTTAATTCAAATTAAACTTACACTGTTCTGTAACACGGAGACTTTTAACCGCACAGCGATCAGCACAGTGTAGGATGCTTTTTTGCGAAAACACAGATATTTGACGACGTATTCAAATATCCCTGCCATGGACAACAGAAGGTGTGAACACTACAGATACAAATGGGTTAAAAAGGTAAGTTCTATAACCCGCCATTCCTAGTTCGCAACTATAACACAGACTTCCCTGCAGCCATAACACCACACAAGAAAAATTTCCCTGCTTTTACCACTTTGACGGTTAACACGTGACTTCCAGGTGTCACGTGACGTGTCACGGTGACGAGTCTTGTGAATCCGAATGGAGAATATGCATCGACAACTATTTCAGGTTTGTAATTCTCTAACCAAACCTTTGCTTTTCCACCATAGCCGTTCGTACGGAACACTATAGCAACCTTTCGGTTAACATTGCCTCCCAAAATCCTTTTTTGTGGTAAATCAATTTTTAATTTCAAAGTAGAATTTTCTTTCTCTGCCTCCCATCCGCCAAAACCATCGGTCCTTGAGGGTCCCGAGTTATATCGTCTCGAAAACGCTTTTCTAACGCCAATAGACACGCCTTGAACTAGCTTAAATCCTTCATTTTGGATTTCTCTGACAGAAAGCGAAGGATCAAAGAACTTCTCAGTTTCATCTGGTGTGATCAGAGTATAGCAAAGAGGGTCTGGGACAATTGTGTGGTTATCCATACAATAAACAGCTCTCGGCAAGTCATGCGAAGACAGAGGATGAAAACCTTGTTTTGAACTTTCTATGGCCTCCAGCAAAGCGCTACGGACGTTGTCAATGATCATCATTGCGATTTGTGCATGTGGAATAATCCCGGCGTGTTGACCATCAGATGAGAACATGGCAGGACATTTTTTATTTCCCGTGTTTGGGCATAGTGATTCACGCATGCTGAGGCTTGTAATTCCATAATGCCAGGCAAGCATTGTCTGTCCGTGATTCTCCAGATTATTACACTCAGGAACAAAATTTTCCGCTTTAATAAAGTTTACAAACATGATAGCAGGTAAACGTTCTTCACTCAATAGTTCTCTTGTAAGTTCCTCCAGAGAGAACGCCCTTGGAAAGTGAGAATCTTTAAAAAGCATGTAATCATTGACTGAAAACTCGAGGAACACGATGTCCATGTTGTCTTCGGATTTCATTAAGGTCTTGTAACAAAAAGAGAAAAAGTTGCTACCAGTTCCTCCAACAGCAAGATTACGAAGTCTAATGCTCGATTCCGTGAACGGTTTTACCGCCTTCTGCCACCAATCGATAAACACTCGGTAGTAGATGCCTTTTAGATCGGAGTAATCGCTGATCAGTCCACCGCCAGCCGAGATCGATCCGCCCATGACTGCAACGCCGATGTTTTGGCCGAGTAAAACTCTCGTCATAACATTTTGAAGACGACTTTTTGTTGTTTGTCGTTCAACAATCTGGTTATTATAAAGCTCTGAAGACAAAGACATATCTTCCAAAGACTTGAATTTATCTTTATAATACCAGATCCCAAACGGGTTCTTTTCCATCGAATGTTTAAGAGCATAAAGTTTTGTAGAATTAAGAGCAGAAATTTTCCTAGAAGTCTCAAATGTCGCGTGGTTTTCTTCTGGTTGCTTGTTAAATGAAGAATTGAAGCTCTGCTCAACTTGTGCCAAGTTTAAACGTCGTGTTATGGTAGCAAAAATGATGAAAAACAGACCATGCATTTTTGTCTTTAAATCGTGGGCCGAGTTCGTCCGGTCGGGATGCCATAAGCAGTTAGACTACCGATATTAACAAAGGAATTTTAAAAACTCTCAGATTACCTACCTGCAACGTATGCCGGCTTGGATAAAATAACCGGTGAGGTTAGCACCTTTCATGAGGTTAACTACCGGTGATAACTAGACGGAGCTCGAGGTGCCAACTTTCAGGTGTTAGGAGTTTTGCAGAGATCCATCGTGAAACACTTGTTAACTGGTGTTGACTTGGTTTGTTTGGTCAAATGCCTTCGATCCAAAAGCTATCAAAAGCTTTGTTATCCATAACCGGTAATTCGGTTTCAGATTTCACGGATAGTCACTTAGCAGGAGTTTGTTGACATTATGGGATGCCTTCGCGGGTGTCTTTAGAAGTGAAACAATAAAGAACCTGAAGAGCCGACATTCCCGTTTCAAGCCATTCTTCAGCAAAAAAAGTTAAAATAACCTGCGAAAGTCACTACTTTGAATATAAACAAGCAAGAGATTATGATCTAAGAGAGAACACATCCCTGTGCCCCATGATAATCTTCTTTAATCTATTATAGCGTCGCGTCACGCTGTCAAAGTTATTTTTAGTTTCGGTCCCACGTTCGCGCAGCCAATGCCCAGCGATCATCATATCGGTTCGCGTTCTGATATAAAACCGAAATTGAAAATCTAACGGGTTGAGAGAGAAAAAAAAAAAAACGTTTTGTTTTGAACTACCACACTGTTTTCATTTCAGAATGTCTTTTCGGAACGGATTAAAGCCAAAAATATCTCTTTGGAAAGCTCTTTCAAAGTGCCGTGCAGTTCGAATTATTCTTCCTCTTTCCTTAGAAATTGCGCTCCAAAACTCCAGGCGCATTTTTTTTGGCACATTTGATTGTTTATTTAAAAGAATCGACCAATCAGGTGTTTTTCCTAAAATAGCCTCGCAGTATGACCACGAGCTAAAATTATCATTGGAAGAGGCCTATGAAGGGAGGATGGGTTCTCTAAGATCATCGTCTCTTAAGCCACTAATCGTAATCTATAACAAAATTTTCGATCCTGATTGGTTCTCTGCGCGCCTATTTGTCACGTAGTCGGTGCGCGATCACGTGGGTGTCCAAATATAGGTATCCAATTTGAACTTTCCGTAATTGGACACCTGTAATTGAATACCCACGTGATTCGCACGTCAATTACGCGCGCTTTAATGGCTTCCTTCGCACTGTTTCCTACAGTTTTCAAAACTTTTGAAAAGCGTTACAGACGTTTTCACTCAAAAGAAGTTCTCAAAAGACATTTTTTAATTCCGAAATTTGTTATAGATACGACTGATTAGTAGTTGGACCTCATGTCGTACAATTCAGGGAGTAATCGTGCTCGTAATTTCAAATCGGCCTCGCGCTCCGCACTCCGATTTTGAAAGTACTTGCGCGATTACTCCCTGAGTTGTACTCCACTCGGTCCAATTACTATTACTAACATGGCATTACCCGTAATCTGCTTACATATTTAAACTTTGCACGTGAAAGTGGAAGATATATAAAGTTTCTAATTCCTGAACAACAACAACAGCAGCAACAACCTTTATTACCAGATTAAAAGTTAAACTTAAATTACAGCATAATATGTTAATACAAATGAAGGTAACATTTACTCAGAATAACTAAAAAGCTAATTGAGCTGAGTAAAACTAAATAATGTTTACATATCGGATGTAGCTTGGCACTGAACACCTGTGACTATCTCAAAACTTGGTGTGATATTTCGATTTCCCAACGCTTTCATACGACTAGTTTAATTGATTTTCAACACCAATACTTGTAAACATCAATCTATGTTTATGGCGGGTATTTGATCAATAAGTTTCAAACACTGCTGTTTTAGCAATACACTCTTTTTTTAATAACAATATTGTTTTTCCGTCTCAGGCTGATTATTCTTATTTTTCTTTTTTTTTATTAGCTTATTTTCAAAATCTCAGCCTCGGGTTTGTTTTTAAAATATTCTTACAATCAGGAGCCATAATCGGTACCGAATACGGCTCCTGTTACAATTTCGCAAATTTCAGCCTCGATATTCTTATAAAATGAACATCGCCCACACGGAACAATTTTAATTATGTCTTATCCAGAAGCAAATATAACTCCTAACGACACCAAATCGATTTCGTGGGATCGCTGCATCTCCATGAATAAACTCCTCAATCCACCATTGACAGGCACCTAATCTTGTTATAAAGACACGAGTGTTTTACTGGAACGTACACCTTTCGTAAAATTCATACGAATTTACATCCGGGACCGTAGTGACGTATTTTCTATATCCTCTCCAGTGATACCTATGACTTCCATCGCACGGCTGCCAAACTTAACCAAACTCCGGTTAAAAGATGGCGAGTGTTAGGGAAGTCCGACAGAAAATTTCTCACCATAAGGAGCACGAAAATGCCAAAAATGACATAATGAAGAAAAAAGCTTTTTGTGGCTTACTGAACAAGATATTCCATTCGTTCGCTGCACTCACTTGTGAGACATTGCTTTTGCCACTCGAATATAAAATTCATATCTTCTCTCCACCGTATAATATCCTCTAGATATCACACGAGAACATGTTAACCCACGAAAACGAGTAACCAGTTCCCCAGAAGTTAGATCTTCCCAGCTATTTCCTATGATATTGCCGATCTGAGTTAATAATTTCAGCGATTTCCAGTCAAAGGCCGGGCCGGGGGATTGAGTTTTATCAAAGTTTGATGACGGTTTGGAATTAATACATTGACGTTTTGGTGCTAAAATCATCTTCCTTAAAACATTAAAAAGAATCAAACACGATATATTACTTGTATGTTGGCCCAATCACAACACCGGACAATATAAATGTCCCCTTGGTTACTGTTCTGACGCTAAGCACGTGACGTCCTGGTATCACGTGACGAGCAATAGTGATAACCTTTGTATGACCAAAAGGCGAGCGAGTGTTAATTAAAACTCCCCTTTCTTCGTATTCATTTAACCAAACTTTTGCGGTCCCTCCATTGCCGTGTGTTCGAACGGCGACAGCGAAATTTCTGGCGTCAGTTCTACTTTCCAAATTACACTTTTTTGAAAACGAGGTTAATGGTATTAATATTGCTAATTCTAGGAGAGAGTTTGCCAGATACGATTGCCATCCGCCATATGCATCGGTTCGAAACCTTTGAATTTCAGAAGACTGAATCTGGTCCTCTGGATAGAGCCGAATAACTGTTGTGTTTACCGATCCTTTCCTGTTAATAGGAACTCTTTGTACCACCTCAAATCCAATATTGCCGATTTCTTTCACCTGAAGACTTCGACTCAGTGACATGTTCTTGGTTAGGTCTGGTGTCATCAGGGTATAGCACAGAGGATGGTCACGAAAATACTGTTGATAACTCTTAGACACGGGTTCTGGAAGGTCTCTGAATTTCAACGGGCAATCTGGCAAAATGATGATATCGCCTACTGATGGTAACAAACGTGTTGGGACAGTGACTTTGACTTCTTTGGAGGTTAATACATTGTCGATTATACTTAACATTAATTGCCTCATGTGGTTTATGATCATATAAGCGACTTGCGCATGACCTATGATACTCACGTGATTGCCATCAGATGTAAACATCTTTGGAAACTTTTTCCCTACTTGCCAAGGACTAGAACATAAGAAATTTCGAAGGCTAATTGTTGTTATTCCATAGTTTACAGCGAGCATAGTTTGTCCATGGTTTTCCAGGTTATTGCATACTGGAATTTGCAATGCACCTTGAACAAAATTAACGTACATAACTGCAGG